CAATCATTTTCTTTCGAACAGAAAGAAGTTGATCTATGTTCTAGCGATATTCCTCTAAAAAACACAAAACACATGGTCACACATGAAGAATAAGACTTTAGCTGAATTCATCCTCAGGAACATCTCTCCCGAAAGGGGAATTCAAAGGGAAACCATCCATCTCGTCCATTGTTTCTTTTTCTTTCCCCCAGCTGCTGTGGAGATAGTCTTCACCCCAGACGAATACTTCTCCCGCTAGGTCAAACAAAGCAGGAAGGCTTAAACTATTTCAGCAACTGCCTTATTTCATATAGGTGGAGGTTGCTCCTCCTCTCTTGAAAGCAAGCTACTTCAAAACAAACAAACACCTCCCTACAATGCTCAGATGCATGTTTTCTCTTTGCCATCATCAGCTGAGTGACAGCAGCAGCCAGATGCTAGCACATAGTTCATTTTCCTGTCTGAAGCAGACAGCAATCCAGAGAAAGAAGGCATGGGCACAAGAAATCAGGACTCAATTACATCACACAAACACTAGATTTCTCCTTATTTTGTAATACTGCACATCAGCCTATAAGCAATGGCTCAGAAAAAACTAAGTGTTATACAGCTTTTTGGAGGAGGGGGTAGAAGGAGGGATAGAGTAGGTGTGGTTAGGTTTTGAGGGTTTCCACTTATATTTTTCTTTTTCAGAAGGATCCCTCTCCTTTGGCATTCTCTCTCGTAAGTAGGGCAAGCCAAGATGGGCAATTCAGACAGACATTTGGAGTACTGAATTAAAAGGTAGCAAATATTACTGGTGGATACTGGCCAGAATTAGAAATATTGGGAAAGTACTGCAAAGCCATGAATCCCAAATTGTATGCCTCTTCAGTCTAAGAAATTAGCTCCACTTTCCTCACAAATGCCTAACAAAAAAACTGATGTATATGAATGCCTTCTGTCAAAAATATTTAAGATTAAGATTAAGGTGATACTTAAGAGCTGAAACTAAATTAAAAGGAGACTTAGACTAAACATTCACCTACAAATATGAGTGTTCAGAGAGACGGTATATGAAAGCCTCCCCGAATAACAAATTCATGAAAACCAAGTGAACTCCTGAGGACAAAAAGAATTTATAAGTGAGTAGGCTTAGACATGGAAAATAGAGTGCAACTTTCCTAGGCAACACATTGTTCTAAGAGAAGAGACGAGACATGGGTTCTGAAATTCTCCATCACCACAGTCCGACCCTTTCTTTTTTCACCTATAAACTGTTCATATTAATATTTGCTCCAGGTCATAGTAAGCAGAAACTGAACCACACTTATGTTTCTGTAGGTCAGTTCAAAATTACATCTTCAGCTTAAGAGAATACATCCTCATCCAAAATAAAGAGGCCTATCAATAGAGATTTATGAATTATGAATCTCAGAACTATGCATCTCTAATTGCTGTATCTAGCTGATGTCGGTTTCACCTTCAGCATAGTTCTGCAGCAGGACAAGTTAAGAAAGTGCACTTGTCCTGCATCCTTCATTGGCTCTTTCTTCACTTCTGGTGCCAGTTCAAAGTCTTTACATCTCAACATTTAGGTCTGCAATAGATTATGACAGGGCTACATCAGAAAAATGCCTCTCTGTTCATGACTTTGCGACAGCTGCACTCTTCTGCAACACTGCTTCTAGCAGTGCATGAGAAAGGGAGATGTTCTTGGGTATTCAACTACAAAATAAGTTATCAAAAACTGAAGTTTACAAACTGTTACAAAACCCACTTGTTTGCCAGTCTACTGCCATTGGTGGAGTTAAACACGCTAATTAAAAACCTGGACCACAAAGGCAGCCTCCAAGAATCCAGGACAGAAAAACAGCAAAATCCATCAAGATGCTACTTATGGACAGTCTTTTCTGAATCCAAAATTACTCAGTGTCATATTAAGTCAAATCAACAGTCCCACTAGCCCAGTACCCTTTTGGCCAGTTAGCTTGCCACTTCTAGTATTTAAGAAACATTACTTGAGACCAACAGTGCCAGATGAGTGGCATGGGGCTGGTACACAGGTTGGATCGGGCCTTGGGGCCTGGCACCATCCCCTCCTGCTCGCCACACTGGGATTGGATCCCAGAGATCCAGTGATGCCCCTCCTCTTCTCAACCTTGGAAGCTGGATGCACATGGCCCAGGACTCCCCATGGGTCAAGAAACTTGGCAGCAGGAGAACAGTGCTTTTGTTCCCTCATCACCAGATTTCTGGACCTGTGGGGAGCCCTGAAGGCAGGTGGCAGTACTGTGGGCCAGGTAGTCTGCAGGCTGGGGGTTGAGCACCCCTCCTCTGGACTTAAGAGTCAGCCACTGGCAGGAGACTGCAATAAGTTTCTGGAATATATAGCTCTTAACCTAGGCTGGGTGCTTTCTTGAATGCTTTCCAGCCTGACTTGTTAGGTGTCCCAAACACCAAAGCATACACAAAACAAAAACAAAAAAGTGAATGATGCGTCTCCCAAGAAACTTGCAGTCCAAAACTAGATAAGATGTACTAAAAAGAGCAGAGAAAGAACACTTGACAAACTAAGAAAACAACAACAACAAAAATCCAACCCCTCCCCTTCCCCCCCCGCAAAAAACAAACAAAAAAAACCCTCTTGCCAGCCCATCCAGCCCTGTGCACTGGGTCAATGCAGCATGTTAGGCCACATCAGCTGGCCTGCAGGGCTCCCCAGAGGTGTGGCCTGGAAGCTCCATGTCTAGTTCCCTCCTACCTCCTTCATATTACTAGGGCTCCCAGAGTGTCCAAAATCTGACAGCATGGGAATGGTAGAAGAGTAAATTGCCACTGGAGGCACAGCCAAAGCACTTCCCACCATATTTTTGGTCCTGTAGGGAGCCCAACGTGCCAGATGACACAGCTCTGTAGGTTGAGCACCACTGGCCTAAAAATAGTTGAAATCCATTTTAGACTGAGAAATTTCTATCCTAGGCATTATAACTTAGACTAAACACAGACGTCTTCAGAAAATCTTCATATGCACAACTGAAGAATAAATGCTTATAATTTCAAACCTTCTAAAGCAATATTCAGGGTGCTCTTTTCTAAAACTGAACTCCTTCAATGGCCTGCATTTAAAAACCCTGGCAAGAAACAGCTGCTTATTTTGTTGTTTCCTTCCACCATGTTATCTTGGCCTTAGGCCCAAGACCATCAATACTGAGCACCAAAGGAGGCTTACAATCAAATAACTTAAAACTGAATCTCAAAGTCATTAATTACTTAAGAAAATGTGCAGCTCTCCAATGGGATACAACAAATGCTTCTAAACACAGTAGATACCAAAAAGTTTTGACCGTCGTGTTTTAAACTTTAAAAAAAAAGGAAGAAATAAGGAACAGGGAGTTTTAGAGAGTTCTAGAAATCATATATTTCTTTCTGCTTCTTAATCCAATAAAGGTGGACATAAGGTGCTAGGGGTAGGCAGACCCCAGGCAAGGATCAATACAAGTTAATGAGTTAAAAAAAATAATAAAAAAGATTTGTATTTGGCACTTTCAGGGCTATAAGAGGATTTATTGGGATTCAAGTCTCAATAGCTTTAGCAAGTAATGCGGTCATACTATGGACAGAAACTTTACTCCATAAACACACATGAAGTTATTGAGTGCTCATATGTTACTACAGTAGTCAGTTTAGAATTTATATTTACATGATGTAAAAAAAGGTTCACCGTTCTATCCACTGCACTAGGCAACCCTTCATGCATTTCAAGAGTGCAACTGGAAAACCCAGATTCTTCCACTAACTTCAGTTTGTCCAATAATAAATGTAGCTATAAATCAGCCATGACATATATATATTCTTTATCTCCCAACACTCATAGCACCTCACAAGCCTCACAGTATAGCTAAAAGGGCAATTAAGTAAAACCATGTTAGGCTAGAAATAAGGGTGGAAATACAGCAAGTTTCAAAATCAAAGAACAGTCAGATGTTCAGTTGCATCTTTCTTGCTCATGGGTGAGGCCCTAGCCCAGAAAACTGCATTAACTGCTCCTGTGACAGCACATCATAGGGAAAGGGGTAAAGCTTCCTAATATGAAGGCACCTGTCTAGTTAGAGTCAACTAAAAACAGTTCCCACACTGCCTAGTAGAGCCACAACAAATCCCCAAAAAACCTCAAACAGTTCCCATACTGCTTAGACAGCCACAACAAATCCCAAAAACTACTGATGTCAAACAGATGTATTCTATGAAGGGAAAGGAAAAAAGGGAAAAAGGAAGTGCACAAGTGGCATAAAATCAGAGCACCTGCACCAGTCTGAAGTTTCTATACTTCTGTCCAGATTTGAGTTCTAGCCTCACACAGAGCCCTTCTTAGGTGATTTCACATAAAAGTGCCAAGAGGCACTGATAATCCACATTCAGAAAGAGGCTACTTTTTAGCCGTAAGTAGTTGAAAGCTGATCCGATCAGAACAGCTACATGTTCAAACAGCTGTGAGCAGGCATCTCATCAGCACTGTCTGCCACACAAATAAAAAGCAACCTCCCATCAGATGAGGGAAAATATAATTTTTACCACTACTTTTCATACACGGCATCCATCTTCCCTGGATTTATTACACACGCAAACATGCATACACACACAGCATAACCCTGTACCAAAGGACCAAGATACTGAGTTAACAAAAACAAAAAAAAACCACATTAAAAGAACTTTGTATAATTTTACAGAATTAGACCAAATTCTGCAAACACCACCAAAAAACCCCAACTCTGGCTCTGCAGCTGTTTTGTTAGCCAACTTAGTTTCCCCATTTGCAATTCTCCACTGCCCTCTAAGGGGTGTTTCAAGAATTTCAACTTTGTACTCAAGTCAAAGCTTAATAGCGGAATCTTGTTTGTACCAAAAGAAACATCTGTTAAAAACAGGCAGGATTCAGATTCAGGTTAAGAAAACAGGTACATCACAGACTTCTTTTGACTGGAAAAAAAATCAGAATTACCCACAAGAGGCAGAGGAAACCTGGAATAAGAAAACTAGACAGCCTTTTTTTTTCCTCCTCCAGAAAAAAAACAAAAACAACAACACATTTTAGATTTTGAAAGACAGTGTAGCAGTATTAGACTGTAGCAGGACTTGCCCAATTAGTTAATTCTCTAAAGTTAAAAGTGAAAGTCCATCCTTTAAAAAGGTAACCATATGTTAAATATTCCAGGATTCAAAATTAAACCCAAACACTACCAGGTGTTAAACAACCCCAAAAATTCAGCAAAGTTGAGTCTTCTACCTCCTCCTCACTTACTTTAAGCAATGCTACTGCACTTTATATTAATGTAAATAAGAGTAATCATCTGCCCACATCTGACTACTGAAAATGTGGAGATTGTATGTAGGCCTGACAATACCTCCACATACATGGGTGTACTTTGTTCCTCATTCCCTTTCGGGCTCCTCATTAGGCGTTCTATTATCAACTCAAAGTTCTTTGAGTAAACCCAGTATTTTATTAGACTAACTCAAATAGTTGGAAAAGTTCTTAGCAAAGCTTTCAGGCACAAACACCCTTCATCAGGCTGAGGAAGCATCGAATAAAAGACATCAGATTTACCCAAATAACCTTGTCCGCATAGGTCCTTAGACCAACACAACTACAACCTACACCCCTATTATCAACTTGGACTCCAAGTCAATGACACTAAAGAAAACTGATGCAATATGTAAAATGAGACGTTGCAAACTGAAAATATGGTAACATTTTAAATGAAACTAATGGAAACTTAGGAAAACCTAAAATTAGCCTAATGCTTGCGGTGGGTAAGCCTTGAAGGAAGAACTGGAAAGAGGTATAAGATGCCTTCTAGAGACTCGAGAACTGATGTTCTTGGGTGTTTTCTGAAGTTACAATGATTTAGAGAATGAGTGTTCAAAACAACAGATCTAACAAGCTGCAGCCAATAACCATGTTTCAGGGTCCCTTTTGAACTCCTACTCAACTCAGGTCACCAATAAAAAAAAGTTTGTATCCTTCACATGATACTCTCACTTGACTGACATTACTCTTTTCCATATCTGGTTTTTCAAAACCTCGTATCATAGCACCAACACCAAAGTATTTCCATTCAAAACTAGATCTGAGTGCAATTAATCTCTTAACTGCTTGTAAGTTTGAAAATTCTGAGTGTCCTATCAAGTCTGTTGTATAGTACAACAGTACTTAATTACTGTACTATATTATACTCAATACAGTATAATTCTTTTTAATCCTTTTTTTGTAAAGGGCTTGCCTAAGAGATCATTTTAAAAACGGCAACTACTAGCAAAAAGTCCAATATTGATATTGCTTGGATGGGGAGGGTCCAAGCAGGGAAGCACACATTTAGCTGGAGTTTGGTCTTGGCCAGTCAGTGGAATATGACTGCTACAGAAAAAAAA